CAGAAGTTACTTCTTTAGTTCATCTCTCTCAATCCATACCCTATCATCACATTTGGCACTTTCGATATTCTGCCTATAAAATCCTTAGCCAAATCCACCTGTTTGTCTAGTACCTTTTTTTTCCCCATGTTACCGTAGGTGATACTTTACTGAACTTTATGCTACTACATGTTGTTGTTAGGTGCTGTCAAGTTGGTTCCAACTCATAGTGACCCTGTGTATGACAGAACGAAATACTACCTGGTCCTATGCCATCCTCACAATTGTTGCTATGTTTGAGCCCACTCTTGCAGCCACTGTGTCAATCCATCTCGTCGAGGGTCTTCCTCTTTTTCTCTGACCCTCTACATTATCAAGCATGATGTCCTTCTCCAGGGACTGGTCCCTCCTGATAACGTGTCCAAAGTACGTGAGACGAAGTCTCACCATCCTCGCTTCTAAAGAGCATTCTAACTGTACTTCTTCCAAGACAAATTTGTTCATTTTTCTGGCAGTCCATGGTATATTCAATATTCTTCGCCAAAACCATAATTCATAGACATCAATTTGTCTTCGATCTTCCTTATTCATTGTCCAGCTTTCAGGGGCATATGAGACAATTGAAATTACCATGGCTTGGGTCAGGCGCACCTTAGTCCTCAAAGTGACATCTTTGCTTTTTAACACTTTAAAGAGGTCCTTTGCAGCAGATTTGCCCAATGTAATAAGTTGTTTGATTTCCTGACTGCTGCTTCCATGGGTGTTGATTGTAGATCCAAGTAAAATGAAATCCTTGACAACTTCAATATGCTACTGTCTAACATGAGTCTCTTCTCCAGCTTCTGATAACAGCCTCCTCACTGTTCTTCTGGCCCCCTTGCAAGTCTCCCTCAGACCCTTCAGGCCTCTAGTCACTGCTTGGTCTTGATGCAAATGCACCAATTTTTGTTCTGGTTATACATTGCTGTGTAATAAAACTATACCCAAAGTTAAGGTCTAAAACAACCATTGTATATTTTGCGGATCAAGAATCAGGAAGGGCTTAGCTGGGCATCATCTCTGCCTGTTGGGGCTGGAGTACCCACTCCAGGATGACGTCTTCATTTACAAGTCTGGAGCTTTGATGCTCCTTTGATGTCTTCTCTTTCCACGTAGTTATCTTCTAGGGCCTCTTCCTGTTTCTTAGGCTTCTGACAGCATGGTGATCTCAGAGTAGCTGTATTTCTTATGTGATGGCTGGTTTCTAGGAAGGAGTTTTCCCAAGAATGAGTGATTTAACAGCAAGAGTTCCCAGAGGCAGGAAGAGGAAATTGCCATGCCAGTTAAGGGCTACACCTAGAAATGGCACACTCTTAGTTCTGCCATATTATGTTTATCAAAGCAATTAGAGGGCTTGTCCAGATCCAAAAGGATAGAGACATCTACTCCATCTCTTGATAGGGTAGTGGCAAGATTGCATTGCTGAAGAGCACATGGGATGGGAGGTAATGTTTAGACATCTTTGGACATGCAGTCTGCCACAGGGATGCAATTTCATTTTCCCAAATGGATTTCCAATTGGGCCAGTACTACTTATTGAACAATCCTTACTTTCCCATTGCTCTGTAATCCCTGCTCTGTCATAAATTCGGTTTCTAAATATGTGTTTGTTTTTGTTTTGGATTCTCTTTGTTTAGGGCAATGTTTCTGAACTGGGGGAGATTTTGCAAGGGACATTTGGCAAAGCCTGGAGACATTTTTGGTTGGAGTAGAGAGTGCTACTAGCATCTAATGGGTAAAGGCCTGGGGATACTGCTAAACATCCTACAATGTGCATGACATCCCTTCATAACAGAATTATTCAGCCCAAAATGTTAATCGTGCTGAGATCACCAAACCCTGGTCTATGCTACCAGTACCATATTATCTTAATTAGTCTTGATATGTGGCAGGGCAAGTTCCCTCCTGTTGTTTTTCTTCTTAAAGAGTGTCTTGATTACTTTTGGCCCTTGTATTTCCATATAAATTTTAGAATCAGTTTATCATGTTTCATGAAAGACTCTATTTTGATTGGAATTTCATCAAAAACTATCTTTAGGAGGAAATTGACATTTTATGATATTGAATCTTCTTATTCACTTACATGATATATACGTGTATCAACTTAGTTCTTTAATACCTTTCTATAAAATTTTGTTTTTTTCTTATTATCGGTCTTATAAATCTTTTGTGTAAGATAGTTTGCTCTATTGGCCAGTTAGTCATTAAGTTTTTAATACGTTGTTTTCCTCTTCTAAGCCTTAATTACCTTAATTGAAAAAACATGGCCTTTTATCTCTAACTCTCTTTCCAGCCCAGAATTACATGAGTATAGTGTTTGAACTAAACTGTTAACTTTCAATGCAGAAAGTAAAAGTAGCCCACTAGAGGGAGCTCCTCTATAGTTTATCTCAGACAAGGTTGCCAGACTCAAAGGCTGCTGTGAAAATAGATCCCATACCTGCTATTGATGGCTATAGATGTTATTCACCGCAAAGAGTTCATCTTCTCAGCATGGAGAAAAAGTGACTCCTTGGCATCTCTTCAATCACAATTCTCCACATAAGAAATTTTACTTTGGTATTTGGAAGATACTACTTGTTTTTGTGTGTGGAAACACAAGAAACACATTTTTGTAGCCAGGAGGAAATTTACAGATCATCCAATTTAATTCCTTCATTTGACAAGTGAATAATCTATGACTTAGAAAGACTGTTACTTTCCAAAGGACACATAGACAATTTGTGAGAGAGCAAGACTGGAATCCAAGTCCAAACGTTTTTATATTACAGTGAAGGAATGGGGTCAGGGAGTGAGCAGTGGGTGTTGGTGGTGGTGGTGGGGGGGTTAGGAGTTGTATTTAATTTTGAATGGGCTAGGGGGTGGTCTTCAAATTCCCTGGAATTACATGTACTATTGTGTATGTATGTGTGTGTTTTTCTATCTGTGCATACATTACTTTATTTGGACTTTTGTTCCTGTGATTGTTGGCTTCCAGGAAATAGGACTGGACTTCTGTAGGCCAGCCTTTGTTTACAAAATGAGATACCTTTGACTTGCTTTAAAGATCCATTTAATTTATATTTTGGAATCTACTGGGAACACCTGCCTTCATAACTTAGTTACCAAAACTTAAAGCTATCTTTCAGTTTATTTATCTTTAACTTGATTTAATGATTTCTAGATCTTATTTTTTTTCTTACTAATCCCAAACTGACTTTTCTAATAAAATGCAGTTATTGAATGTTCTTCTCAGAGATAGCTCAACTTCTCTGTTTACCATCTCTATTTGTCATCCCATTCCAAATCTATTGGGACTGTTTTTTAAATACTTTTACTATTTGTGATTCTTCTGATTCATCTTGCTGTAAACTTTCTTTGTAAACTATAGATATTTTAAAATTCTTTATTTTTGCATTTGTCATAAGAATAAGATTTTTAGTTATTCGGCTATTTAGTTGTTTAGTTACTTACTTTTTTTTCTGTTGGATATCAGGGACAAAATTTTAAGCCTTTTGATTGAGAAATGTTTTAATTATCCTGGAATCCAGATTTCTGGAGTCCATGGAGTTGGGGTGACCCACCCAGGCCATTTGTCCTTAGGTGTTCTTTTAAATCTTGAGCCTTTGAGGAACTGTGTTTCCTAGAGCCACCTTCAAGTAAAACAATAGCCTAGAAAGCGGCTTAGTGGAGACAGTTTTGCCTCAGGCATTGGGCCCTTTTGGAGAATTATCTATGTGCAGCCAATTTAGAGAAACAGAACGTCAGGGTCTGACTGGAAGCTGTGTTTTAGGATATAGGGTGTGTCCTTCATAACTCTGTTTTTACAGCTGACTGACCCTGAGACCCTGCCTGTGCTCTGACTCTATCTCCTGAGAAACCAACATGAAAGGAATTTACAGTGATCTTCAAGAGACTACCCTGACTGGACCCCGCCTATATAACCTGTTTTCATATCACCTCTTTGAGCGCCTTCCTGATACTTTTGGTTTAACACTGCCGGATTTGAATCATATCTATTCACAATAAATATATTCTATTGCACTAATTTCTGGTGTTTCTCTGCGCATTTAGGTTTTTAACATGACTTAAAAGAACAACAGACCAAAATAAAAAGTCAACAATCTATTGACTCCCAGGTCGCCATTATGCCCTGGAGTTCTTGCATAGTTTTTAAAAATCTGATCATATTCTTTCCTAACAAGCTAATAGAAAAAGATTTTCTGAAAAAATATATGCATATTTAATTACCTTTCTGTTGTTCTTTATCAGGTATGGTATGGGCAAGGCCACTTTAAAGAGAGCTAGAATTTAGGTTACTATGTACCAATTCAAGGAGTGATGCTGTAGATACCTAGGAGGGATAGGAACAGGGAGGGAGTGTAGAAAAACAGAATAAAAACACTGAGTAACTTTCTAGCTGGATTTCTAGACTGAAGCTTCAATCTCAGTGTGAAGTGTTAGATATTCAGGAGAAGTAAGATCAGTCTTTGTTAGAAATAGTTATAAAAGTGAATGTTAGACCAAATGATTTTTGTGCTAATACATTCTTTCTCAGCAAGTATTACTGAAGATTTCTCTATTAATAATTTCAATTTACATACTTATCATCTATAAATTTTGACTTGAGTTATAAGGCTACAAGGACTTTGAGCTGGGTGAAAGAAATGGCCTACCCTAGCATTCCATTAAGAACAACTTTAATCATGAAAAGTAAATGATAAGAAAACAAGTTTTATTTATTTTTAAAATGCGTCACGTTTGATTCCTGTTTTCCTCCATAAATGTTATTTAATGTGCATGATGAATGAATATTTTAAAAAACTATCTTCTTGTTGGGTATGATCAGCTATGTGTAATGCTTTGATTAAGTATGATTTCATTTATTATCTGAGGTTTGGAATTATTATATAAATTCTCAAGGGTATAAGAAGCAGGACTATTGTTAAAATATCTTTGTCTCCCACTGACTGTAATAACAGAGATTTCTTCTTGATTTTTAGATTTCCTCCTTCCTCACCTCTGAAACCATATCCAAAGAAGCCCTCATACCAAAAGGATGTTATTAAGTTTCCAGAATGGAATGATCCCCCACCAGGCACTTCACAAGAAAACATCCCAGTACGGCCAGTTGTTATGGTAAGTGCTGTTAACAAAAGACCTAGAGACTGGCAGCTGGGAGAAATAGTCGGTGAATCACCAGCCTTGGTCCAATTTTCCCTCTGTATTAGTTTCCTAAGGTTACCATAACAAATTACCACAAACTAGGTGGCTTAAAACAACAGAAATTTATTCTGTCACAGTCTAGGAGAATCTCTCCTAGCTTCTGATGCTGGCCTGCAATCCTGGGTTGTGCTCGTGGCAGCATAATTCTAATCTTTGCCTACATCTTCACATGGCCATTCTCCTTCTGTGTCTGTTTTCCTTCTCCGTCATCTCTCTTCTTCTTATAAGGACACCAGTCATTGGATTAGCACCATCTGTTATGGATTGAATTGTGTCCCCCCAAAATATGTGTTGTAAATCCTAACCCCTATACCTATAGATGTATTCTCATTTGGGAATAGGGTTTTCTTTGTTATGTTAGTGATGACATATCAGTGTAAGGTATGTCTTAAGCTAATCACTTCTGAGTTACAAAAAGAGCAGATTAGGCATAGAAGCAAGGAAGCATAGATGGGGGAAGATTAGATGCCATGCCACATGAAGATCCCCAAGGAACCCTGGAACAGAAGTGAAAAGAGATAAGATCTTCCCCAGAGCTGACAGAGAGAGAAAACCTTGCCTGGAGCCAGTATCATGAATTTGGACTTCTAGCTTCTAAACTGTGAGAAAATAAATTTCTGTTTGTTAAAGCCACCCGCTTGTGGTATTTCTGTTATAGCAGCACTAAGAAACTAAGACACCATCCTAATCCAGTATGACCTCATCTTAACTTGATTACAGAGACCTTACTTCCAAACAAAGTTGCATTCACAGGTACCAGGGATTAGGACTTTAACATATAGTTTTTGGGGATGCAGTTCAGCCCACAACACCATCAGTCCCTTAAGTAGTAACAATGGCCTGAGAATACTTTAAAACAGTATTATACAACTGAAAGACAGTAACAAGGAAAAAGAAGAAAATAATGTACCCATAATATCATCCAGAGAGAATTACTATTATTAGCATTTTTGTTATGTGTCTTTTTTTCCATGTATGTTTTAACATAAAAATGAAATTATGATAAACTGTTTTGTAGCCTACGTTTTTTACTTAGAACAGTGTGTTACAGCCATTTTTTACATTATTAAAATTTGACATCATTTTTAATATTTCAGTGTCTCATAGGAAAATAATGTATTTATCTAGCTCCTTATTGTTAGATATGTACGGTGTTTCCAAATTTTCAGTATTATAAACCATGGTAGTGAGCAACGTCTTTACAGATAAATGTTTGAATGTATCCGTGAGTATTTCTCTAGGATAAGTTTTAGAAGTGAGTTTTCTAGGCAAATGCAACAATTTGTACATCTGCTTTCAAAAATGAAATTCTTAGCTCAAGAGACAGAAACGGCCACATAAACCAGAGACTTCGTCAGTCTGAGACGAGAACTAGATGGTACCCGGCTACCACCAATGACCGCCCTAACAGGGAATAAAACAGAGAGTCCCTGCTGGAGCAGGAGAAAGGTGGGGTGCAGAACTCAAATTCTGGTAAAAAGACCAGACTTAATGAGACTGGAGGAACCCCAGAAAGCATGGCGCCTGGATTCTCTGTCAGCCCAGAGCTAGAACAGTTTCTGAGGCCAACTCTTCAGACAGGGATTGGACTGAACTGTGGGACATAAAGTGATACTCGTGAGGAGTGTGACTCTTAGCTCAAGTAGATACAAGAGACTAAACGGGCAGCTTCTGTCCGGAGGTGAGATGAGAAGGTAGAGGGGGTTAGGAGCTGGTTGAATGGACCTAGGAAATCAGGGGTGGAAAGGAGGAGTATGCTGTCACAGTATAGGGAGAGCAATTAGGGTCACATAACAATGTATGTATAAATTTTTGTATAAGAGACTAACTTGAAGTGTAAACTTTCGCTTGAACTACAATAATAAACAATAACTAAATAACTAACTAAATAAATGAATAAAACCCTTAATTTAGATACTTAACAGAAATCCACATGGTCTTTGAATTTCATTTGACAGGTTAGTAATTCTCAAAACAAAACAAAAACCAATTTTCTTACTCTTTATTTCCAAATTTATAGTATTTTCTACAATACTACCTTTGCAAAAAACTATTATAGAAACTCTTTTGTAAATTATTTCTTACAAGTTTTTCCTTAAAAAATCAACGTTCTCCTCTGAGATGACCAAAGGGAAGTGCTATGAATCATGTCAAGCAGCTTACATGTGAGAAATGAGGTACTGGGACTGTTGAAGTGGTAAAGCTGTAGGACTTTGGGCACATTATTTATCCTCTCCAAGTTTTAGTTTTTCCCTCTGTAGAAAGGGGTTGATAATACTGCCGGCCTCGGGAGTTCATTCCTTCTCCTCTTCTCTTTGCCATCTCTAGGCTCTTTGTGGAACTCTTGTTTTTCCCACTTTTTGCAGGTGCCAAAGGTTAAGGGGCTGCTGTACAATATTGTATGTATTTGATCCTTGCTTATTAAAAATCAGAATCTTGAAAGTAACGCACTTTATTTTAAAATGTCACTCAATTTGGAAAGTGCTTGAATTTGAACAGGCATTCCTCCACTTAATTTTGAATTAATGAAATTTTTTTTCACTGGTACTTCATTGATTAGTTTAACTTCCACAGGAAAAAATACTCATTAATGTCATGCATATTGCCACAGTTCTTCTGTAGTTTATGAATATTCATTTATAATAAGACCTGATATTTAAAAGTCTTACTTTACTCCTCTGAGGCAGGCAATGATGGTTCAGTGGTAGAATTCATGCCTTCCATGTGGGAGACCTGGGTTCAGTTTCTGGCCAGTGCACCTCATGCACAACCACCACCCATCTGTCACTGGAGGCTTGTGTGTTGCTATGATGCTGAACAGGTTTCAGTGGAGCTTCCAGACTAAGAGATGGACTGGAAGGAAAAAAATCTACTTCCTAGCCAGGCAATCTACTTCCAAAAAATCAGTCTGTCCAAACCCTATGTATCACAATCTTTTGATGTGCAACCTATCATGGGATGGCACAGGACTGGGCAGCGTTTTGTTCCATTGTGAATGGGTTGCCTTGAGTTGAGGGCCGACTACACAGCAAGTAACATCACCTCCTTTGAGATCCGTGCAAAGCTAGTTTATATTCCTAGTTATTATTTTAAATCTAATAAGAAATAGCCAAATGAAAGAAATTTCTAATAAAATTATACCATTTTATACTGAAATATTTATAATCTGTCTCTCTCAATTAGAATTCTGAGATGTGGTACAAGCGTCACAGTATTGCTATTGGAGAGGTGCCGGCTTGCCGTCTTGTCCACCGCAGACAGCTGACGGAGGCCAATGTAGAAGAGATATGGAAGTCTATGACATTATCATAGTATGTGCATTTGTTTCTGCTTTTAATACTGATATCGATAAGAACTTTTAGTGCATTTTTCCCCTCTTTTGCTTGTCTACTACTCTCTGCATAGTTAATTTCTGAAATTATGTATACAAATCTCAACTTTTGATTGTATTATTTGCAGCTGTGCTGCTTAGCAAAACCAATTTTACTGAATTCTTGGAATTGTCTATTGTCATTTATATAATAGTTAAGAATAAGAGCTTAAAAGTTTTTAAGAAATCTTAAGCTAAATGAAACTGATATGGAAAATCTGGTTTCCTATAAATTTGATGTACTATAGGTAATGGTGTCACAGCAAGATTTTTCTCATGAAAAGTATAATAGCAGTTTCTCGTCATTGGATAAGCCAGTTTTTCTTATTTATAATATTTTCACCTATAACACTATTTCCTTGGCATTCAGGTTGTTATGTCATTAAAATTAGCAAAGCAGTATGTTAATGGTGAAGGATATCTTTTAAGTTTCCTTTTGTCATACTCAATTTTTAACCTTTTTGCCTCACAAAGGCATTGGGTAATACATGAAAATAACGGATTCTAAAGATTGATCTTTTGCCCCACTAGATTTTTTGAAAAGTAATGATTTTTAAAAAGTAACTAATTTGTTATTTATTTATGTAGTTTACAGAAAATCCTTGGTCTACATTCATTAGAAGAAGTTTTAGACAGCAAACTTGTCAACTCCAAGTTCATCATCCATAATGTATATAGTGTTAGCAAGCAGGGAGTTGTTATCCTTGATGACAAGTCAAGTAAGTACATAAAACCATTTTCTTCTAGGTTGACACAATATGTTGGCTGCATGGGTCCATCAGATTTTATTCAACTCTTGCCTAAACTCTGGTTTTTATTTTCTTAAAATAAAAATTACTCCTTTGTTGCATATATCTTTCTCTCATTTAATTCTTTTTAACTAATTGTTTGGGTTAAGAAAATGTCATAGAAAGATGAGCGTCCAGGCCCCTGAGCAAAATTCATCTAGAGGCTAGTTCAGCATTAGTCACATTGGGCATTAAACCAAAAACCATACCAGTTGCTGTTGAGTCGATTCCGACTCACGGTGACCTCGTGTGTGTCAGAGTAGCACAGTCCTCCTTAGGGTTTCCAATGGCTGGATCTTTTGAAAGTAGATCACCAGGCCTTTCTTCCGAGGCACCTCTGTGTAGATTTAAACCACGAACCTTACGTTCAGTAGCTGAGCGTTTAACCATTTGCGCCATCCACGGACTCCTCACTGAGCATTAGGTGGCTCCCGCTGGAAGATCCTTGAAAAGTGAGTAAGCTTGAGAACTAACTGGGAGTTTGATTAGTTTTCAGGTGGGTCCTGAGTCTGATTGAACTTTGTTCTCATTCACCTTTTCATTATGGTATCCCTGTGTCAGATTTTCTGGGATTGTCTTGATTTTATGTCATTTTTTTTCTCTTAGATAATTTAAAATTATTTTTTCCTTTTAATAAATGTAGCTCTTTCAATGCTGAAGATACTTTAATTTTTTATACCTTTTCATCCAAGCTGGTTTACAATTCAGGAAAAAGGAAACATTTTGGAAGCCACCTATCCTGGGTTTGGATTTAGAAAAATATGGTCACAGTACCTATGTTGTCATGGTTGTGTTGTGTGCTGTCAAGTCGATTCTGACCCATGGTGTCCCCATATGACAGAGCAGAACTGCCCCATAGGGTTTCCAAGGCCGTAATCTTTATGGGAGCAAATCACCAGGTCTTTTCTCCCATGGAGCTGCTAGTGGGTTTGAATCACTGTCCTTTCAGTTAGCAGTTGAGCTCTCGACCGTTGTGCCACTAAGGCTCCTTATGGTACCCATAGTGGGCTAGAATCCCAGGCTGATTTTAAAGTTTCCAGCTTTCTTCCTATGGGTCAGGGGTAGACTGGAATTGGATGGGCTCTTGTATTGGTTCTTCCTTTAGTTCAACTCTTGATGCTGAGATTGTATGGAACTAGAATGACCTCTTGGATGTGGAAAGATGGTATTATGCATTTTGGGTTTTTGCAAATGTTATTAAATTTAGGGCTGGAGACTCCTGGGCAGCCGACAGAGTTGTACCAGAGGGAGCCTGGGCAGTTAGGAGAGGGAAAGGGGTTTTTCTAGGCTGTGTTTCCTGGCAGGGACAGAATATGTCTTTGAAACTGAAACACTACTCCTATATCAGGAATGACGGACAGTGGGAGACAGTAATGAATATGTTTGTGATTTCATGAGTTGTCACGTTAATATCAACATGTAGAATTAAGTTGCATAGAATGAGGCGGGTATAGACTTTGAAATATACCTGAAATCCTTCCACATTCTCTGAGAGTAGCAAACATTAGTACTTTGAGCTACCAGTTAGATGACCAGGCATCTTTCAATTTATTATATAAGTTCTTCAGAAAGAAGAGAGTACTTCACAAGCCTCAGATTCATTAGATCTAACACGATTCAACAAGCATCTTCACAATTTTACAGAAAGTGGAGAGGATGAAGAAGTGGAAGCGTGAACGCTGACCCAGTTCATCAAGTGTCTGTGCCAGGGCCAGGAGGGAAGAGACTCTCCACCAAATGGTTCCCTGGGATTTTTTTGTAGCAGTGTCCCTGTTATTATTTTAAGGCTCTCCTAATATTAACAGTACATTTCCACATGTCACTGGAGCTTTCTCAGCCTAAAACATTTTAAAAATGAAACATTTAAAATGATACTCATATTGGACATATAAAATTTGCCTTTTTTTGGGTGTTTGTTGAACTGGTTTAACAAATCTATTTGATAACTAATATTTTACTTTTTCAGTTTTTTTTTCTTCTATAATTCTCAGGATGATTGATTTGTCTGTTAGTTTGTATCTTTACAACAACACATCAAATGTCTTCTTTTCACTAAAGCCTTAAAAGGTGTATCTTATTCTTAAAGACATTTGTAGATGTGATTTTTACAAACACATGTTCTAACACTGATACTAAGGAGAGACTTTTAAATGTTCTAATACATAAATAGGGGACATACATTTGTGATTCGCATATATATTACATTTTTTACTTGGACAAGCAGTACGTTCTTATTGTACCAATACTGCATAGAATTCCTTGAGTTATATGCAATTGCATTACACTGTTTTTATTTTCCTTTTCCTGCAGAAGAACTTCCGCATTGGGTACTGTCAGCTATGAAGTGTTTGGCAAATTGTAAGTACTAATTACCTGTCAGTTTTGTAAAATTAACAGAAATTAGTGCCCTGAATTGGAAAATACTTCTGCTTAATGGTCTGAGCACTGATTTGAAACCTGTGAGATAGACAGTTAACTGTTTTGGTATGAACTGCTGTGCTTTTGGAGGCCTAGTAATATAGTGGTTAAGAGCTTAGCTGCTAACCAAAGTCTGCAGTTTGACTTCACTAGCCGCTCCTTGGAAACTAGGAGGCATTTCTGCTCTGTCCAGGGTTGCTATGAGTCAGAATCGACTCGAGGGCAACAGGTTGTTTGTTGTTTTTTGTTACTGTGCTTTTATTGCTAAATTTGTGACTTAGTGAGAGGACTGAGTTACAGAAAGTTTTTAAAGGAATTTAGTGCTTGCACTTTCCAGTGGACGTAATAACACTGCAGTTAAAATCCACACCACCGCTTCTGACTGCTTCATCAGAGGAAAGACATTAGTGATTTTGCATGTGATTTTGTAACAGATAGTTGCCTGTTAACAGTTTACAAGTTTTTATTCCTAACTACTTACATAAATTTCTAAGGATCCCCTGTACTTATATGATCAGTTTGCTCAGCAGCTCTTGTCTAGTATAGGCTTTTCATAGGGTAATATTTTAAGAGGGAGAGTGATGTTTTAGAAGACTGGTCTAACTGATAGGCAGGAGAAGAACCTGCATGCAGAGATACAAGAAATGCTCTTTCAGTAATTTGGTTGTGAGACGAGGGGTCCTGCACCAGCATGGTTCCTCTGAAGATTTTCAGGAGGGTTGGATATCATAGGCACTGCAAAGGAATGAGTTAACATAGTATCTCACTAACAGTACTTTTTTTCTGGAGAGTTTCAGAACGCTTAACCCAAAGGAAGGATTCTAATGGTTAATGGCTTAACCCAAAAAAGTGATTTTAATGACAAGGGTTCCAGTTATTCTGACAGATTGATAATGGTGGTATTTGGTCAACAGTACTTTTTGTTGTTGTTCTTGGGTGCTGTTGAGTTGATTTTGACTCATAGCGACCCCATGTGACAGTGTAGAACTGCCCATAGGGTTTTCTTGCCTATAATCTTTATGGAAGTAGATGGCCAGGGCCTTCTCCCCTAGAGCTGCTGAATGGGTTCAAACTGCCAAACTTCTGGTTAGTAGACAAACGCTTAACTGTGTGTGCCACCTAGGAGCCTCACAAATCACCCCAGAGAGGTAGTGTCTTCCCTTTTGGGTAGGACCAGCATGTAGATAGGTAGATGTATAGATTCTTGAATTAGTCCATTCTGAATTGTTGATTTGACTGGAGTTAGTTTTGTTTGTTTATACAGTGAAACTCGGTATAATGTGGGTAATCTTGGTAGTAATAGATTGAAAATGATTATGTGCTATCATTCTGAAAATAATTAGCAATAATAGTTTGTGTGAAGCAAAGTCCTCTGGGTTTAAGTATTAAAATATTTACTGATTTTTGGTTAATATTTTGGAAACTCTGAGATGCAGAATACTGTGATTTTAGTTTGGAGGAGTACTTTTTATTCTTCCTGTACAACCATTTGAAATAAATTAAATTTTAATTATATCTTTTCCCAGAGACAGAAATGACAAGAAAAAAAGACATAAATGGGAAGTTAAATTACCCATTTCTGAACTCCCGGCAAACCAAGGATTTGGAAGTTGATCAGCTGGGAATGAATAGAGGAAGCCAGTATAACAAATTTAGACTATAGTATGTTGTAAAGTGTAGATTAAGGTGTGTTTGTAATGTTGAATTTCTAGTGATTATCAAAACCTAGTAAAGAATATAATTTTCCCACAAGTAGGATGTATGCATAACCATAAACTTCTGCATAAAGGTTAGAATAACTGAACTTACATATTAATGGAGAGGAAGAATGTGAGCAGCGACTTCGTAATGATCATCTCATATGAGGCGGTGTAATATTACGTGGAAAATCTTGGAAACAGGGAACATGTATCAAGTACAACGCTTTGTGAATGGTTGACGTGCAATAAGATGTTTATTCATGCATCAAAGGAAAGAAAGGTGACCAAAGGGCATGGTTAGCCTTCTGAATAATTTAAAAACAAACAAACAAAAAAAAAAACAAAACCTATTGTTGTCGAGTAGATTCCGACTCATAGCAACCCCATAGGACAGAGTAGAACTGCCCCATAGAACTTCAAAGGAGCAGCTGGTGGATTCAAACTGCCGACCTTTTGGTTAGCAGCTGTAGCTATTAACCACTGTGCAGCCTTATAAAATCACTAATTTTTCCAAAAGTCTACTTAGCCCCCCACATTTACTTTGGATTCATCAATATCATAACATGCTCCTTGTCCTTCTAACTCTTAGTAAGTCCAGATTCATCATAGTTATCTACAAGGGAATATAAGGATAGATAAATTATGTATTTTGAAGTCCTTCTTTTCTGTAGATGTGTTGACTCCTTTCTCTTTAGGCCATCCTGCATTTATTGTGGGCCACCCCTCGTCTGTCAGTTTGTCGTACTGTGGGGGCTTG